TTTGATGGAGTGATAAACAGAAAATCTCTGTAGACACCTCAACTAATCTATTGGTAGTGTTGGATTCATCCGGTGTGCCTACTGACTAAAGACTAACCTTCCTGCATGGACAGGTCCGTAAGAATCACTCCCCTAGAAGACAAAAGGGCATAAGAGAAAAAAGAAGAAGGAAAATAACGAAAAATTTCGGAGGCCAGCTTGCTCTCAAAGGGGAGAGAGGAGGGGCACTTACGCTTGTGGGTGAAGCTCGAATCTTGGCTTGCGCTGGAATAGAGTTAGAGAAAATTAAATTTGGTGTTATTGTATGTATGAGTAGATGTGCAAGTCAGCTGTGTGTTGTGTATTTCGAAGCGTACCTTTGATTAGTGTAAGTGTTGTGTAGGATTTAGGCCGTAAATGATACGGTGGACAGATAGATGCTCCTGAAAGTTCGTGAGTGCGGCGATGGTGGGATTTAGGTGGTCCGTAATGGAGGCGCTGATTTTTGACGCAAGGACAGGGGCTGCTTGTATTGGAGGGACGATGTTGAACTACTTGATAACTTGAGTATTCTTGATGTACCACGGAATACCCAGGACCGACCTCAGTATCTTCATGAAAGGGCCTTGGATACCCTTAAGTCGGTTTCCCTTTTCAGCGGCCCATGTTGGTATCGCTTAGGTGCTGATGCTCTTGATGATGGCGTTGAAGGTGCGCAGCTTCGTCTTCTGGAAGGCTGCTTTGTTGTTAAAGAAGGGCTTAAGTTGCACAAAGGCTCCGTATACCTTACCGCGAATGCTATGCACGAAAGTATTTGAGTCGACAGTCTAGTGTGACGCCGAGATACTTTAACAAATTGTGGCATGTATACAAGGCAGTTGTTTATAACCTAAATATGTTGAAAATGTCTTAGCTGTTGTCGTGTAATTTTAAATTGTTAAAATAAATTTTTGATTTTATTATAAATACATTGAAATTAGCATAGTCATATTGTAGTGATGATCCCGTTATTTGATTGTTTT